GTATATCGGCACTCCAAGTTGTGCTCCTTCTGGAATTTGTATGTTTTCTGAAAATCAACATGAATAATCGTTTGGAATGATTCATAATTACTTTATTAAATAGTATAATATCCTTTACCGCCATTAATACGAAACTTACTTAATTGAATTTCTTTAGTTATGGTGCGTGTAATCAAAGGAACGGCTGGAAAAATCCGCAGACTCTCTTTTATACATCTTTCGATGTAATGAAGATTTTGAACGTCGCTCACAGACATATTGCCATGGCACAAATCCATAACCTCTATCGCCTCAGCTCTAGCTTCTTTCTATAAAAATCAAACTATTTAATTGCATCATGTTACCTATGGTTTGTTAATAAATATTTACAAAATTATTTTACCTGGATCTCCTGGTTTTCTGCTAGTAACGTTAAAATAAACGTCAATGCTGTTGAAGTGGTATCGTAACCCTACACATTAAAACAATAGTCATCGTAACGGATTAATTGTTTAACAATTTTAAAATCATCAAAAATTTTAATACCTACTGCTGCTATAAAAGTATTAACTTCTTCTTTGATGCCTTGGTCGTCTATTAAACCATCGTCTTCAGCTGCTAACAAAAGGTCCAGCATAGCTAATCTCTTACGTGGTCCTGAAATGCAAGAATTTTGCATTATTTTTACTGTTAGGGTACGAATGGTTCACAGAAATGATGTATAGGCTTATAAACGTACAAAGTGTCATCACACGTAAATAGTATTTTAAAAAAAATATAAATAGCTTTAAAGCTTTTGACCCTTAAAGAGTATTTAAGTATTTTACAGTATTGCACGCAATCAATTCCATACCATAGTCAATCAAGTTTCAATGCTAACAATACTGACGTGCATTAAATAAGACTAAAATTTGGTACAGCTACTTACTATGATTTCACACTAAAACTTGATAGTTAAAATAAATTTAGAGCTTTTTTCATTAATTATTTCTTGCACACATATTTTTGTACGATTTCAAGAAAATTTTTACTCAGTATTATTTGTATTTTGTGTTATGATAGGGATCAAGATCTAAAATTTTTATCAGAAGATTACAACTCTCTCATATCTTGTATGGGTGAACTCAAAATCTAAATATATTTAGTCTTAGTAATAATGTGATTTTTTTCAAATATTGGTGTAAACTGCTTAATTTTTAAGTTGAATTTTTCAAGATTTCCGCGTAATAAAATAATTTTTTAGTTTCAATTCTTACCCTTAGATTCCTTGCCAGTATCATCGATATTATTAACATAATCATCAAAAGATAAACCTTTATGTGCTTTATGATACTTTCGCCGCTCTTCTATTACCTGTAAAAATAAATTTTTCTAATGACAATAATTAGATACTTGACGTTTTTACTCATTACCTACGATGGTGACTTTGAATACTGCGTACCTTATTTCCAAAATCGTGAAGTATTTTAAGACAGGCTTCTTGCTTTTTTCCAACATTCATAAACTTGATCATCCAATCCATTATGTAGGGTCTGCATGATC